ATTCTCAGCGAGCAATGGTTTGAAAGCCTATTTCACTCCCCTAGTTTTTTTCTAAATTATGTTGGATTTTCTTTTTAGAGGCTTATTGGGACTGCAAGTCCAGCAAGCTGGGACTGTATGAGCAACAAAGGACTGTTAACCACTGATGATACATGTCGCAAACCCAAATATTATCAGGAAAGAAAGGACTGTAACAGAAAGGTACCATCAATTTCTAAGAAAATATCTCCTTTTTTCCCCCTAAGTACAATTATCACAGTTTTACTGAAAGAAGTAACAAGCAGTTAAAGTGAACCTAGACATAAGAAAATGGTTTAAAACAAGCATGAACTCTCTTTTTCCTTCAGGTACTGCCATTAATTTATTTTTAGAGGAGAGCTCACGGATACAACAACCTAGGCATCACGTGGCTTCAAAGAAAAGAAGAAAATTTATGTAACGGAAGCTAAACCAGCATGCACACAAAGATGGGAAGATTGTCCAGTTCCCCAAGAAAGGTGCGTGCAATTAAAAATGTAGTTATCAAAAGTCAAGCTAAGAAGCAGATTTTTTTCAAAGCGAACTAGTACAAGAAGGCAGTAAATTCATATGCATGCCAGAAAAATGTCAAAACAAAACTGAAATCACAAGTTGGTAAAGCAGCTGTTGCAATCACCATATTTAACAGGCACAGGGTATCAAAAAACCTAGTTTCAAGCTGTAAAGTATAAATTCTGGTCTCAAATGCTGTTTCTGTTCCAATATGTATAGCTGACAGGCAGATCCACCAAAATCTCACACAAACCTCTCGGTGCCTTTGAAAGCAAATGCATCAGGTAAATTCTGTATATTAATAACATCTAAAATTCATCATAAGGTCTGATAATCTATCACCCAAGACATCTGGAAAAACACTGGGTATCTGCCACTGCCAAGGATGGATGCCATGTCAATATAGGAAGGGCAACTAAAGCACCCTCTACATCCCCAAACTGGGTGTTAAACCTGTCACGTCCCTGGGCAGCTATCTCAACAGCGCAGCACTGCTGGGTGGGGAAGGCAACAGCATGATACAAGTGCTCTCTGGTACTGCAGAGTGTTGCAGTGACATTCCTCAGCTTTGGAGAAGTCAGAGTTTGGAATTTAAGTTGCCAGTGATGCAATACCAGAAGGAACAAGGGCTAATAGCTGTTCTAGCCCTGCTTTCTTCCATGAAAAGGCAGATCTGGTTGCCTGACTGTCATTACACAGGTGAGAGAAGATACAGTAGGACCCAAATGCTTCCTTCTAACACTACAGAGGGAAAACTAAAGGAGTTTAAAACAAGAGGATATGAAAATGTCAATATAGAATAGCAGCAATGAGTGAGTTGTCAAGCCTTCAAGGACGTCCAGTGGAGCAGGAAAAAATTGTATATTCAGATAAAATCATGCATCTCACATGATATTCTACAGCGATGTTCAACACAGATCTTACTCTGTTTCTTGAGGTCAGAAGGTATTTATCTTTTCTTCATTAGAAAGAGAGCTTGATCATTACCAAGTGTTTCCAAAAACTCTATCTTAAAAAAAGATAAAACAGATGCTGTTCACACGGTGAAGAGAATGAAATTCAAATGCATGAGAAGGTGTCAAAAATTTCAAAATACTTAAGACTGTATGGCTAACATTCATTCAAATCTTATTAATTTAAACCTTGGTTATGTAAATCCTAGATTATTTCTTAGCACACTTGCCAACAAAGAAACAGGATCGGGCTTACACTTTAGTCATGCAGGAGACAAACGTAAAATGTGCATCTTTTTGTGTGATTAGGAACAAAGACTGTAAGCACAGACAAAAAGGTTTCAGCCTTTAGCTACTACATCTACCATCTTATTTCTGTGGCTGAGCTATAATTAACCTTTAGTCAGCCACCTCAATCATGAGAATAGATAATCATGGATTCTCTGTGAGCCCAGTCTTATCTTTATAAACCTTTATAAAGATTCTCAGAATTTTCAAAGAGGATGAATCAGACTGGGAGTGCAACCATCTTTACGGATCCTCAGAAGAATTTTAGATCAATCTGCAGGTATGACGCACTATATGCAACCACGTGTAGCATAAAACTTGCTTCGTAACTTGGTGTCTTTAGAGGACCTGTTAAGATCATTGCCAAGTCCTTTCACCAGGTAAAAAAAAAAAACAGGCCTTTGCACATTTCGTTACATGAAATGCAACGTATGTAGTCATATGCAGTCCCAAAGAAAGGAGATCCCTACAGTAACTTGAGTAAGATGCTATCTGGTCTAGTGGTAAGGGGCTCCATCACCACAGGGCACAAAAAGTGTGCACAGTAGCATGGGATGTGCCGTCTAGTCTCACTACTTCTAAATCTACTTTTTAAATCAAAGCTTTGCCACAGCATTTTTTCTGTCTCATGCCAAACAGAAGTGCACATGCATAGCTGTTCATGCCTGCAGCTGTCTCTCACAGGCACATTATGAGAGCAGCACAGTGAAATGGCCATGACATTAACCCTGTGATGGTCCTCCTAAGGTCTACTTGCAGCAGAAGCATAAAATAAGCTGTATTACAGTACAGGAAGAAAATATAAAGAGGAAAGACGGAAGAGGGCTAAACACAATCTTCTAGTTTCCCCTCTCCTGTGCAGAGCACAGCAAAAGCTCGCGCTCACACTCATCAGTGACTCAGAAATGTATAGCTACCAGAAAAGCACCCTTTAGCACCATTCTTTCTGGTCTTGTTGTTAAGCAGCAAATACTAGCATGGTTGTCTATCACAACCATCTCCTGGTGCCACAGTAAATTTAAATCCCTGTGACATTGAAAACTGCCCCTATAATTCTCAGTTTGTAACAGCAGTTACCCTCTGCTACAGACAGCACCACTACTGTATTAAAACTTTGCTCCTGTTTTTTTCATTTCTCAACAAAAAAAAGGAGTCAAAAGGAAAGGCCAAATATTTACCTTCTAAAGAGACTTATTAGGCAATAATCTTAACATTTGTTAAAGTGTTGGTTTTGGTTTTTTTTTTTACAAACACTTGGAAATTTTCAAAAACTACCTTCCGTCTTTCAAAATCCACCAAAATCCAGTTCTACTTCAGATACTATTGCCATATACAAACACATATAATTATTTCAAGAAAATAAGCCCAACTGTTTGATTCCAGAACAAACATTGGTCTCTAACATTAATTCCTGTGCAGCAAGTACAACGGGAAAATAAAGCTATGACTACTGACTGGATTTTGTATCACATTCTAACATGCAAGAACATGTATTTTGTAACATTCACTTTCAACTCTATTTTCACCAGTACTACAGTGAGAAAAATCTTTCTTCTCTTTGTATAGATAAAAGCAGCTGGTAGAAGCTAACATAGCATCACTACTTTTAAATTAACCTAACCATCCTACTTTTTGCTTCTCAGGTGCAGTTATATTCTCTGCCAAAGCTCTCATGTACTGGGGTTTTCTCACAAAGGTCATATCAAGCCTCATTTGTCACGCACTTTAACAGAGGAAAAAGCCCCCCCCCCCCCCCCATAAATAGTAATGTACATAAAAATGAAACTTTTCATAAATACACAGATTTGTTCATTCAAGAACAGTTTTTCTACTTGACTGAAGATAAGCATTAGACAATTTATCAGGATTTCTGTGCATTAACAAATATTAAGTAGAAGGTCTAAAACCAAAATCTTGAACCCTTTTAAGTTTTGTGACTATTAACTCCCTAACCTAGCCCTGCCCCCAAATGAAAGGAACTCATTTTCCTTGTTTAAGTCTAACTGGATTCTTCTAAAACCAAACGATTGCATAAGATTCCCATTCTCTCTGGAAAGTTTTCAAAATTTCCATATAGTTAGATCTGAAACTCAGCCCTGAATTGCCACTGAGACCAGAGTGAAGTCCAAATTTTATCAGCATCTAAACTTCACTTTCTTAGGTTTCAATACCTTGGCAAATACAGAATGAATATATCAACTAATTTCTCTTTTTAAGGATCACACAGCATATACCAAGACCCTAGAAATCCAGCCATAAGTTAATTATCAATTTCAGAATATTATTTAAGGTTGTATTATGGTGATGAAAAGCTTCCAATAAATTAAAAAAATACATCTGCAACTGGAATTCAAACTTCCACTCTAATAAATATACTCAGTGAAAGACATTTGCATTAACTAATTTGACCCCATTATAGTCTCTGCATGCTTGTTGCATGAGGCAATGCTAAGTCTATTCAATATTTATTTTCACTGTATAGTAATAGCTTGTTATACTTTTTAAAGTATTATTTTTATATTGAACTTGTTAGATTCACAGAGAATTCTACAGCAGTACTGTCATAGCCATCACAAAGTTATAATTAAGCTGTGACTTCACAAATTTATTACGTTGTCACTGACAAATATCATTGCTAAGTGCTAGCTAGCTGTTCTGACTTATTAGTCCACAATGTCTCAGACAGATTAATTTTTTTTTAAATAATTGTTTTGCTCTGGAAATAGGAATACCTCACACTTTCCTAAATCAGAGACTTTCTACTTAGGAAGCAAAGTACCTCCATAGTGAGATGTTCCAAATGGCAAATGACAGCTACATAAACAAACATATGGCAAAGTAACATCAAATGGCCACTATGGAAATCTAAGATGTCTTTCTCTCATAGGATTTTAAGTATCTCTCATATTTAACGAATTTCCTGTGTGGCATACTAACCAAACACACCCACTCTGGCCTCAGAGAAATACCGCAATTCATTCAGTATGTTGAAGAGACACTCATTTTTTTCCTTTGCAGAGGATATCAAGTATCTGTAGTGATAACTAGGGCGTGAGTAAACTGACAAGAAATAGTACGAGGCATCTCATGTTATCAAACAACCAGAAAATAGAAAAAATATGTAAAAGTAGTTCTCTAGTTAAATCTTGGGAAGAACAAAATATTAGAAACATACTCAAAGTTGTCTGACATTAATCCAGATATAAATTAAGTTGAAGCATAACTTACTGGTAAAGTTCCTGGTAAAGAAGCATCAAAGAACGATACCAAAGAGTTAGGAGGTGCTGCAAACTGGACTTGGGAACCAGAAAAAAGTTTTGAGTTGGAACTGATCTGTGCATGAATTTCCAGACCCACAACTGGTACCCATGGAGCAAGACTGAAAAGGAAAGAGGAGAAGAGAAATGCAATTTAAATATAGATGACATTAAACCCCACAACCATCTAAAAATACAAGAATTAATAATTTTTCATTTATTCTTTTAACAAAAATTAAACTGTAATTGTAAAAAAAAAAATAAATGACGTTGTGAATCTATCTACGGTGTAATCGCAAAAGTTGTGCCGCAATACTGGAGAACTGAGACTAATTGACAATATATATGGAGGGGACTGTATGGCAAAGTGTCTTCATTATATACGGAAAACAATGCTGTAAAAAATAAAGGTAATGGTCTGAAACTTTTAACTTTTCCTTACATGAGAAATCTTAGAGAAATTAATGAGGCAAACTTGCATGTTGGATGAACCCTAATTTGGTACCTTGTGAAAATCACAAAATCATCATAAATATCTATTACTTCTCAGGTAGTTTGATAAATCTCCAACAGACAGGTGGCATAATAAATTATGTATTCTTTGTCAGCTAGTCACTTGCATTCTGGGAAAGGTGGCTCTCCAGAGCAATGTTAGTAGCATATTAGCATAAACATTAGTAATCTGGTAATAGAGAAATCATCATTTCAACTAGAGAGCTACTGCTCTCTGAACATACTCCACAGAATAAAGCAGCTCCGTATGATCTAAAAAGTAATTGCAATTCTCACATCCATAACCTTTTTATGGACAAGAGAAAAAGGTCACCTTTACAGTATGAATTGCTTGACAGTTTCTGTAAGTAATTATCTGGCCTTGTACAAATGAAGTGGCACAAATAATATTTCAGTGGTGAAATCACATTTCTATGGCAGAATACTTCAGCAGTATAAGTACCCAGATACCTACAGGAGATAAGCGAGCTATGGAAAAACATCAAACAAATATATCAAGTACAGTGTTCCTTCCAAAGGTGAACATAATACATTGCCATGATTTTAGTTCTCTGTCTGCCCTCCAACTGCTGAGGACATCGCTACAAACACCAAACTAGTGATGCAGACGCCACTTTTATCGCTGCTTTAGGAAGAATATTATCATAAAGGATTAAAGTTCAGATGTTTAAAGGAGCCAATACATTTTCTTTCACTGAAACATAGTATTTTCTTTGGTATTTTCAACTATTCATAAAAATACCTCAAGGTTTAGAAAAAGAGTTGGGTTTTTTTTAATTTTGGAGGCCAATTTATTTCATTGTTTCCTGTATTCATTAGAGATGCATCCCTGTCACATCATGGCATTAAAAACTACATAAGGCTTTGCTCAATCAGCGTGTTGGCTTACACTCAGATAAAAAGGTAGGTGCATCAGTCAGTCCTTGAGTCCTACTAACAACACTGATGAGGAACCTGGAGTTTCTTGCCATGTTCGTTCAAGGTTTATATTTATTTGTGTCTCTAAGGAATCAGCAGCATACTTCTGCCAGTGTCTGCATAACTTCACTTAGGTGATCAGTCGTGCAGAGAGAAACCTGAATCTCACCAGAGAACACCAAAGCTTGTACATGCCATAACTTTCAGTTGCAACAGGAATAAAATGCTCCGTTCCAGGCACACTGTCAAATTTTCATATTTCTCCACTGGAAGAACAACCCTTCAAATGCAAAATTGGTGCAGGCCTTGCTGCTTGTACTCTGAAGACATAAATGCTAACCTTTTCTGATTTGCTCGCATTGTGTGGGCATCCTACCACAGCCAAACGTGTCAAAGTGACAACAGCCCTCCTGCACAGACAAACACTGCTTTGGGGGTTTCTGGGGGGCGTGTGAGATAAATGCGAGCTGAGACGGTGCTGCCAGCCATCAGCAAGCTGCAGAAGCCTTACACCGCTCAGAAGACGGTATTTACAGCGGGCCCGGCCGCTACCACCTCGCCCTCTGCTTGTCACACAGTAACGGCACCTCCAGGGCCCGACACGCAGGCGCCGCCCAGCTCCCGCAGCCGCTGCGCTCGGGCCCAACCCCGACGGCCCGAAACCGGGCCCGGCCCCCACCCTGCGGCTACGCCCTGAGGGCGGGATGCCCCGGCGGAGAACCGGCTCCACCGGCCCCTCTCCCC